CGGGGCTCCGGGCGCCGCCGCTGCTCTGTCCGGGCCGGGGTCGGTGCTAAAAGGAGTTGCGAGGGCGTTGCGCTGCTTGTCCTCATCCCCAGTTCGGCACGTTTGAGCCGACACGGGCGTCCCGAGTCGGCGAGAGCTTCGCCTGCCTGACTGACGCAGCGCAGCGCTTTACCGATTAAAAACACAAAAAGACCCGCACTCCTCTCTGCGCTGTGAAGTTGTTGTTTTCCTTCGCTGCCGAGAGACGAGGCGGGCGATCTAGCTCTCGGATCAACAAGTTCAGGTGTTGTGGGAGTTGTCAGGGTGCCCTCGCTAGCTAAGCGGATTCGCGTTTTCCCTGGTTGTTTCTGGGCATGAATACAAAGCTCCTACACGGTTGTCGCCGTTTTGTTGTTGTTGTTGTTGTTGTTGCTGCAGTGAACAATGAGGATGATCTCGGGAGGAGAAGCGGCTGTAGCGCCGTGAACATCTGGTTGGTGTTTTGTGAACCGTGCGGTCTCGCCTCAGAGCTGTCCGGCGCGGTGCCGGGTGGTTGTTTTCCTGGTTGTGTGCGCAGGAGTCCTTCGGGGAGGGACCTGTGTTCGTGGTTTGTTTTGGGGGTGTGGTGGGTTTGTGTGTGTGTTGTGTTTCTTGAGACCCTGACGGGGGTGCGTGTGGGTCGAGGCGATTGCAGTGCAGGACTGCCGGCCCCGCCACCGCCGCCGCCCCCCTCCCAGTCCCGCAACAGGCGGATCTAGAAGGTTTCCGGACGGTCAGGTTCCCCTGTCGCCTGCGAGCCCGGCACGGCCGCGGCGCCCGTCCCCCGTGAACAGGTGCGAGGGGAGACGCCTGTGGCGGGACGGCCCTCGCCCCGTACCCCGGCCCTGCGCTCTCCTGCAGCAGGGCCGGGGGTCGCCGCCCGCCTCGGCGGCGGTGTCCGTGCGGTCTCCCGGACAGCGGTGATTTACTGAGGGGCTGACGCAGTCTTGGCAGCTAGACAAGGCCGACATGAAGGAGAAGAAGTCGATGGCGCAAACACTGTCCCCGCCGGTGTTGTTCAGGGGATGCTGGGAGGCTCAGGACCGAGGCGCACAAACTACTGTCTCCCCCCCCAGACCCCCCTGGGTAACACCATCGGACAGTAGCCGTCGTCCACTGCGCCCCGCTACCTCGGGCTCCCATTTCCCCCACTGCCGGGGTGGGTGGCTGGGGTACAGTGAGATGCGGGCGTGTGTGCGGCGTGGTTTCAGGTGTGAGCAGTGTCCTTCGGATCCCGGGGGACGGCTGCTGGGCCTGGCTGCAGTTTTAAAAACACAGAAGTGTTTCGCGCCCGGTCAGCGCTCAGCGCTCAGCGCTCAGCGCCCGCCTTTGTGCTCCTGGAGGTCTCCTTCACAACACTGGGGCAGCGCTGTTACCCTTAACCCCTGGTTTTAACTGGGACTGCTGGGACCAGGCGTTTTCACGGGTCTGTTGCGCTGCCTGGGAGATGCGGCCTGCGGGACGGAGCGCTGCCGGGAGTCTCGGGCTCTGTCCTGTCCTGTCTTCTGTGCGGTGACGATCCCCTCTCGGCAGCAGTGTCCTGGTGGGATCCCACAGGCTCGCAGCGGGGACGCGCATGTCACCTTCCCAGTTCACTAGGACAGGGTTCCCTGCGCCTGTGCCAGTCCCTACCCCAGTCCCTGTGTCAGTCCCTACCCCTGCCCCCCCTTGCTCTGTTCTTGAAAATGAAAACGCAAATCCAGAATCTAATGAATAATTTACTAAGCAGTCATCCACGACGTATCGGGCTTGGGTCTACATTAAGGTGCAAACGGACGTCGGAGAGACTTGGGATTGACGTCTTTTTAGGAGGAGAGAGCAGCTGAAAGGATTTGTTCAGTCCAAGTCTGGGTTCAGTTCAGCAGCCGAGACCCGAGCTGGAAGAACCAGGACAGGGAGGCCCAACAGCAGAAGGTCTTCGCCTCTTCAGGATGAGTGGGCCGTGCTCTGAGCAGGGGAACTGTTGAGCCAGAAGAACGAGCCGTATCTGCCCCAGTCAGAGTGCGCTGGTAAATAGCATTGTGTGCCGGGATTCCTCTCCGCACCTGTGGGGCCTTCTGGGAAGGCAAAACACCGCACAGCTGTCTCCCAGAAGCAGCTGTCCTCTCTCTTCTTGATGATTTGTGTGGGTAGGTTTGAAGACGTCCTGGATTTTCCAGAACCCGGCTTCCTTTCCCGTTTCCCTTTTCCGCCAGGTGTCTTGAAAAGGAGTCTGGGGGCACCGTGTCGCCCGCCAGCCTCTTGCCCCTGTCCGATTCCAACCGAGCTGTGATTTGGTGAACTGCAAGGCAGGTATCGCGCGCCTCTCCTCGGATGTGTTTTTTTAGGGTGCTGCGGTGGAGCGCTGGGGGATCTCGGTAGGGTGGTAGGAGGAGAATAGGGATTTGCAGACCTTTCTGTGCGGTCGATGCCGGGGTGTCAGAAGGGTGGCGACAGCACCACGCTTGGCGTTGCTCTGCTCTTTGGCATCCTCCCTGCTTGGCCAGCTTGAGCCCTGACGAGCGACGGAGCCG